TATAAATATAAGATAAAGAAAAGAATTAAGTTTAAATTTGAAAATGAATATAGAAAGAGAAAATTAGATAAATCTTCAAAAAAAAAAATCAACTGAAAATCAAGAGCGATAGTTGATTCTATAAATATAATATTAAAAAAAAATCAAGTTTAAATTTGAGAATGAACTATAAGAATATAGAAGGAGAAAATTAAATAAATTCTAGAAAGATTAGGTAAAGAGAAATTCAGTAAATATCAAATGAAGATTGAAAAAAAGAAATAAAGTTGAAATTTAAAAATTCAAAAATAAAATATGATAAACTTGAAGAAAAAAAAAATCTAATATAACTCTAATAATAGAAGATGGTAGTAGTTTAAAAATTAGATAAAAGTGAAATGTCACCTATAATTTTAAAAAAAAATTGTTTACAAAAAAAAAAAAAAACTCAAAAATAAGAACTAAAATGTAGTAAGTTAAAAATTATATAAGAGTTAAACGGCAACAATAATTTTTTAAAATTTAAATTTTGTTTAGTTAAAAAATAAGTATTTATGGTATTTTATTATACAAATTTTAACTCTATTTTGTATCCACTAATAATAATTTTTAATAATTTTTTATTCTAAAGCTACTAAATTAAAAAAAAAATATTTAAGGGATCACCCTATAAATTTCAACAATATTTGTATTTTGAAACTATTAAATAAAAAAATAGTATCACTTTTCTTTTTAAAATCTTAGTTAGTTTCATTTTAATTTTGTTTTGTGTCAATAATCTATAAATTTTAGCAATTTTTGTATTCTGTATCTACTAAATAAATAAATAAAAAATCACTTTTCCTTTTAAAATCTTAGTTTGTTTTATTTTTACTTTGTGTTAAGAGCTGGTGAAGTTGCATCGATGGTGCTATGCACGATTATAAATAAATAATCAAAAATTAATTTTAAAATTTAATAATAATATAAAATTTATCTAAAATATATAGTAAAAATGATTTATAATCAATTAACTTTTATTCATTTTTATCAGAATTACACATAAATGTCTTATATATTTATGCCAACATGGTCTTTACCTAATCATTAAAAATTGTCTTGGTCTATGCCCAACTTATAAATCATTTGACCTATTTATTTATTAAATTGGTAAATAAATATCTATAAGTATTTTTTATTTTTAAAATAAAAATTATGAACAAATTTTATGCATGCCTATTAAAAATATTGAACTTACTTTAGAGATTATATATTTATGTTAACACTATGAAATAAATAGTTACATATATTCAAAAATTATCTAAGGTAAAGCCACCCTAAATTATATGTCATATTTTAGTTTTAATCTTAGTAAATTTTTGTGATAATAATAAATTTAAACATTATGTATAAATTATATCATAATTTATCAATTCGTGACTGATAGAGCTAATTTAGGGGTTCTAATATTGGATTAAACATTCAATGGGCCAATTTTGGATCCCGTTTTAATGATATGAACAATTCACATTCTGGGGTTCGTCAAGTACATTATCCCTGCAATAAATCAAGTTGATCAGACATGGAAATCATGTGTTTGGATCAATTTTGTATGAATTGTTTATTTTCTTATCATCTATTTTTTTCATACAAAACTGATACAAACATATGGTTACTGTTACCGTTATCTTATCGATTTGATTTTTTATAGGGATGATGTACTCGACGAATTTTAAAAGGTGAATGGTTCAGATTATCAAAATGATGCCCAAAAGTGAGCGCACAAAGCCCAAAAGCACTTTTCTAGTTCGATGGAGTACTGAAGAAAAGCTCAGACCATGTTAAAGAATCAATAATGTTTAAATTTGGGAGATTTATTAGAAAATTATTTTTCAAGTATTTGTATCCCAATTAGTTTATAAGATATTTTCATATTCCAATAAGTCCTATTATTTGAACATTTGATCTACCATATCCTAATTCTCATATTTAAAGTATTTTATGGACATGTCTATCCTTACAAATATTTTTTGAATGGTTAGCAATTTAGTGATGTGAATATTTATATTTTAAAATGTGAATATTCACATTGATGTGTGAATGTTCACATTGACAGTGTGAACATTCGCGTTGACATGTTAACATTCACATCAATGGTGTGAACATTCACACCACAGAATATTCACACTGTAAATGTAAATATTATTAGAGGTATTTTGATAACTATTTTACTCATAGGACTTATTGGAATATAAGAAAATAATGTGGACTAATGAAACATAAGTAGGTAAAAATGGATTTATGAAAAAGTGACCATTTAAATTTTAAGTTAAAGAATTAATTATTTTCCATATGTGTACATATGAATGTATCAAAATCATGCATTAATGCAATCTTAGGGAAGCAATTTTGAAAATAAATTTGGTATAGTAAACATAAATTAAGGAAGTAATTTGTAATGGTAATTATGGTAGCATAATTTAAGGGTTTAATATAAAACACCATGAAGTAATTAAAATGCAACACATAATGACACTTAATATTTTTATTATTAAAACAAAAATTAAAATTTAAAAAAAATTTGAGTTGAAAGTTTGAACTTTAAAAAATCCCTATTAACATTTACTGTGTATAAAAATAATAAGATTTGATATATAGGTTGAGTAGTAATGGCTATGGTGAGAGAGAAAAAAAACACATGTTACAAAATTTTAATTATATAAATTATTTTATACTTTATGGTGAAAAACTTAAAATATTTTAATAGAAAATAGTTTACAACAACATATTTTTGATCGTGTGATTTATTAATTTTTTCAATTGGACAAATTATTTATTGAGTGTGTGATTTATTAATTATTAGTTTTTAATTGGAAAATTCCTTCATTGTTTAATGGTAAGGAATGAATGATTTTAGAAATAAAAAATGCATTATTTGTTTTAAAAAGAAAATGTTAGCGTATGATTTATTAATTATTTTTTAAATTAAAAAATCAAGGAATTTAGATTAAGCGTTTAAAGCTTTCTTAACTTTTCTTACTAAAAATTTCCTTTTCGTTATATAATACTAGTCTATCACCCGTGCTATACATGAGATAATTATAGATATTTATATTTATTTTAGATTTTTTTTAATATACAAATTATGTTTTTTAAGATTTTTTATAAAAATAATTTAACAATCTTATCACTAACACAGTGTATAAGAGAAATTGAAAATGATACTGCAGTAACTATACATGGATTGTATCTATAATTATTTGTATAAGGGGATTTTAAATGCTGATCAGGGAATTGTATCAATAAATGCAAGTATGTGGAAAGACTTGTGGATTAAAAAAAGTTAATAAATACTAATCAGGCGATTTTGACCAAATCAATAAATGCTGAGTTTTTTTTTTAATAAAAAATTTTAAAAATTCAGATTGAAATATTAAAACTCCTAGAGACCTTGGGTTAAAAATCTCATTTTGTATAATATATAGTATAAATATAGATTTATCTATGCAAAATTACCTTATACCTACACGTACAATTTCTGCCTACTCCCAGCATTAATATATATTATGACACATACTCTTCATTTTCATCTCACATTTTTTCTTAATTATTTTATATATTAATTTATAAAATTAATTTTTGAATAATGTCATGCATTTAATTAATTTGTAAGTTTTTTGTTGGGATCTGGAATAAATAATTATTTTTTATAAATTGTAAATAAATTAAATTTATATAATTATTGATATATATATATATATATATATATATTTATCTATCCCAATCCTCTCAAATTATTAATTTGAATCCATTAAAATTTCCAATATACTCTGCAGTTTTGAAAATATGTGAGTTGGGCGTTTTTGAAAAGATAGTAAGGTGGTGTTTGGCAAGTGGGTTGGGGCTAAAATAGCCACAAAAGACAAAACAGGCTATTTTAGCCACAACAAACAAAACATCACATCCAACCCATAATCATTACACTCTTCTCTCACAAAAAAAAGCCAAAAAACCAAAAAGCCAAAAAGCCCTTCCCAAACCAAGCTTTTTAGCCCAGGCTAAAATAGCCAAAAAAGCCAAAAAGCCAAAAAGCCAACCCACTTCCCAAACGGAGGCTAAAAGGTAATTTTTTTAGTTTTTAACTAAGTTTTTGGTTTTTTTAAACAAGTGATTTGAGAAATTGGTAAAAAGTTACTTTTGATTTTTTTGATTAATAATTATTTATGATGTCAAATCATAATAAAATGACCAAATCATCCTATTCAATTTAAAATATTTATAACTTCATCTATGCAGCATATTGTGATCCATGAGAGGTAGAATTGTAATTTCACCAATGGCTGAAGACCAACTTTCCAAATATCTTTAAATACAAAACATTTGTGATAAAGACCCTCACATATACATGACCCCACAATTCCCACTCTCATCCCAGCCACTCATAATATGGGACCTATATATACATGAGTAGGCCCTATATACATGAAATCCCCAAAAAATGGAATCCCAAACATTTTTCAATACAAAAAAATCAATTTTTAATTTTTATTACAAACGCAGAAACGTGGCCAAGAGCCAAATACCCAAAAAAGGCCTTAGTAGTGAGTTGAAAAATTCTCAGAGCCCATTTGGGATGAGTGTTTGGGCTAAAATAGCTATATGGAGCAAAATAAGATATTTTAGTCAAATAAGATAAAATGTCACATTTAATCCATAATCATTGTATTTTTTCTTTTACAAAAGTTAAAAAATCTATCTCAAATGAAATTTTTTAATCTCAGACTAAAATAATTAAAAAAATCAATTTATATCCCAAACCAACCCTCAATTACATCAAGTGTAAACTGATGTTTTTCTCCTAAAATCAACCCAAACTAGTTTGGTGAATGGGTGAAAATATTTTTTTAATGTTAATTTTTGTGAAATCAAATTTTAATTTTTTCAACAAAAATAGTGAAAAACAATTTCTTAAAACCGGTAGTTACCGGTACCGGTAAACATCTCACGGCGAATAAAAACAGGATTAACTGGGGATTAGTTTGGCCATAAACCCGTGTAATAGTAATACAACCTGTGTAACGTGTTGTTGTTGTTCAGCTCAAAATCCTGTCTCTCTCTCTCTCTTCTCTCCCTCTCTAAAGCAGCCGCGGCGGCCATGGAAGCAGCAGCTGCTAAGGAAGAGAACCAGCAAGTCCTCAAAGTCCTCGAAGCTCTGAAACAAGCTTCTCACGATTTACACTCCAACCCTATTCCCAAATCCTCCGATTCTTCCAACTCCTCCGCCATTAAAGCTCTCCTTGAGCTCCAGACCGAGTCCAACTCAATCCTCTCCACCGACCCTTGCCTCTCCACCCTCTCTCATCACCTCACTTCCCTCAAATCCATCGTCGAATCCCTCGACAAATCCCGATCCCGACACGGCCTCCGATCCTTCCTCACTCGCCGAGTCACCACTCACGAGATTTCCCGAGTCGCCGTCTCTATCGAGTCCGAAATCCAAGCCTGGATCGACCGCGAGAGCATCGACAACCTCGTTCGAGCACTCAATCAATCATCTTCCTCAACCGACGATCAATCCCTAATTCAAATGTTGATCAATTTCGAAAACAGGGTTTCCCAAGGCTTCAATCGCGAGCTTCAGGATTTGATTCTCAAATCCAAAATCTTTTCAATTCTCGAATCGGTGCTCTGTGACGCGAATTACTCGAAAGAGATCCGAGAACACGTTGCTTTCGCTATCGCTGAGTTGATTAGGTTTAACAAAGACGTGTTCGTAGGGCAAGTGTTGATGGGTCAGACGATTCAAGCATTAATTTCAATGTCATCTCCTTCGTCTCTGAAAGTACTCTGTTCTCTTATCAAATCCATCAAAAGCCCTTTGGTGGACGAGATTGAATCCAACGGAGAGATTATTAACATCATCAATCTCCTGAAATCAGAGGACTTGTCAATACCAGTAATGGCGATGAACTGTGTGCTTGAAATTGGGTATTTCGGGAGGAAAGAAGCGATTGATGCGATGATGAAAGCGGAATTGATAAAGATATTGGTGGAGTTGCAGAGATCGGAGATGGGTGGGGATTTGATAGAGGTGGGGAAGTGGGAGGAGGAGGGGGTTGAAGCGGCGGAGGTGGTGGTGGTGAGGAGGAGAGAGAGTAGAGAGAGAAGGTTCTTGGAGAAGCACCCATTTGCGAGCTGTGTAGCGAGGTTTGCAGTGCAGGTGGAGGTAGGAGAAGGGTTGAGGCAGAGAGAGAAGAGAGCTTTCAAGCAAGAGATATTGAATAGAGTGAGAGAAGCTTGTGTTTCTGATGCTGAATCTGCCACCATTGTTGCTGAGGTTCTGTGGGGTTCTTCACCTTAAAATTTCAAAGGTAAAACCAAAAAAAAAAAAAACAAAAACAAAACGAAAAAAAAAATTGTGGAATTTTCATTTATAGTTTTTTTTTTGTAGGTATTTTGATTCTTGTGAATTTTTTTCTTTTCTTTTCTTTTCTTTTCTTTTCTTTTTTTTTAATTTAAAATTTTTTTGGGTTGGTGTAATTATGGGTGTATTAAATGGTGTAAAGAAATTGTTGAATAAAGTGAATTACATTGATTCATGATTTGAATTGGATAAGGGGCTAGTTGATTGAAAATAATAATAATAATAATAATAATTTGAAAAATGTTTGGTATTCGTAATCACGGTGATTGTTTGAGAATGTGTTTTAAATTCACGAGCGGTAGATGTGTTGGTTAGGTCTGGGTGGTAATGGTGCCTTTGCGGTAGTGGTAATGGTTGTGGTTGTGTGATATTCGTAATCACGGTGATGGTGGATGGCGGAGTGGCGATATGGCGGAAGTGATGCTAGTTTGTACTGCAATGGTGACGATGATGATTGTTTGTCAATGTGTTTAAATTATGAATTTAAAAAAATTTGGGAATGAGTTTGAGTTATGAATTTATAAAAAAAGAAAAAAATAATAATAATGAAATATAATTATATTTTATTTATTTTTTAATTTTTATTTAAATATATGATTCAAAAATAATTGTGAAGTTTTGAAAAAAGTCAGTGGGGTAGTAGTACATTTAGGTCTTGTTGGATTAAGAGAATTAATAGTGAAATGATTAATAATTTTATGAATTAGTGTAAGATTAGTAATTCAATTAAATTAGTGTTGGCACCATAAATTTGTCATTTTTATTATTATTTATTATTTATATAATTGCAGGACATGTGACATTCTCTTACTCATTTGAAGTTTTTGAGAAGTTATGAAGCATGAATTGGAGGTTAAAAGAAGTTATGAAGTCATTGAGGGATATGTGGCATTGTGGGAATGAAGATGGAAGAGTGAGTAGTTTTAGGTGGTTATTGGTAGTTATTACTAGAAGTTTTTTTCTTACAAATATTTGCCTATAAATAGCCATTCATGGTTACATTGTAAAGATTCAGAATTCAAATCAAAGACAATTAATTTTAATATTTCTTGTCATTTTCCTTATCTTAGAAGTAGTTTAACATAGATTTATATTTCGAAACATTTATTTTCAGCATTTTCTTTTCAAAGCATTTTATGCACTTCCTTTTCGAAGCATAGGAGTAGAGGTAAAGTAATTATTACTTTGATTGTTCATTCAATCGTCTTTCTCCGTCTCTCTTTCTTTTACTTTTTCTTTTCTCTACACTTGACAATTTTGAAGTCCTCTTCGTTAAGGCAAAAGAACTGTCAAAACAATCGCTTGATAATTGGCTTGAATTTAATCTGTAAGGATTTTTCAATCCTTGCTAGCACGCTCACATTTATGATATTTTCCTTCGTAAGAAAAATAAGCCAACAATTAATGAGATAATTATTTATTATGTATTTATTTTATTATTTTTCTTTCATACTTGAAATTATGATCTCAATCTTTCTTAATATTAAAAAATTATTAATTTTGTCGGATTAAATATCTACCATATATGTAATCCGATTAATAAAATTTGTAATCAAACATGGGATTGTGAGTTCATGGATTAATAATCCTAATTCTATGTTATAATTCTACTAATCAAACATGCCCTTAAATCTTGATAAAATATACAATACACTTAAGGTTTTGATGAATATTTTCAAGCTTAATATTACTTTAGTTCGTGAAAGGAAAAAGAAAATTGAAATTGAAAATGAAAGTGAAAATGAAATAAAAAACAATCAAAGGATGTGAAGGTTAGATAAGAGGGGTTAACTTCTTAAAAGAATACTTATTTTTCTTATTATTCTACACGGCCCCTAGTTTCGTATCCATTTTTAGAAGACTTGGGAAACTAACGAGGAATATTTTGTTAAACTAGTTATTTTAGTTAATTTTTTATTAAAAAAAGTAAAACAATAAATAAATAAAAGAGTTGACATTTTGATTATTACTTTTGATTTTTTAAGTTATTTGGTTTCCAAACTTAAGTTTAAGGATGTTTTGGGAATGAAGATTTGCTACTTAGAAATGTTTGGACTACTTTCGTATATGTATGGTGCATATGTTTTATGTCAACTGTTTAGACTATTTTTGTACTAATAACGTAGGAAGATAGCGGTGAACAGTAAATATTATGATTCGTTTAAACCGATCTAACCGAATTGAATCGTCGCATTTTTGGACGAATGTGCGATGCGAGCGGACGGTTATAGATTGATTTTTTTTAATCTGCCAAGTTTTGGATAGATGACAGATTTGAGGTTCCTTTAGCCGTAACCAAACCGTCAAACCGCGAGCACCCCTAGTAATTTGTAAGATTTTGTATTTTTAATTTGTTTAGATATTTTGTTTGTATTTTCAATTGAAAAAAGAGTTTAGATATTCTGTTGTATTTTCAATTTGAAAATCTTTTTATCAAATGATAAAGGGTTGATATTTGATATTTGATATTTTTGTGTAGAAAATATAAAGTTTAATTTTGCCATTTAAAAAAAAAATCAAATTAAATAGTTTAAGAATAAAAAAAATAATGAAATATTTTTGATAATGTATGATTTTCTTATATGTTTTTATTATTGGTATTTGACAATACTTGATAATCTTTTGGTTATGTTAAGTTGGATTATTATCCCAAAAAAATATTGACAAATTGTATTATATTCAAAATTTGTAAAAGTTTAAATCGCCAAACTGATTCGCATCCATCCGTCAATCCGTTAATCTACATTTGTCAATTTGGTGGACGGATGCGAATTGATTTTTTTCAATCCACCCATACAGAGGACCAGAAATTACCTGGCTGCAACCGAGTTATGCACATCCCTAGAAGAGATGTAATTCAACTAGCAGATGAACAAACAAATGATGTAATTAAGTTTTAAGTAATAGAGTATGATTTATGGTCCTTAAATAAAATTAAATAAAAATCAATTAAGCCTCTGTTTGGCAACTTAGGTTTTGGACTGACAAAAAATAAAATAGGCTATTTTAGTTACAAAAAACAAAATATCATATCTAACCCATAATCATTACATTCTTCTCTCACAAAAAAGTCAAAAAGTCAAAAAATCCTTCCAAAATCAAGCTTTTTAGCTTAGGTTAAAATAGCAAAAAAAATCAAAAATTCAACCTACTTCCCAAACCAAGCCTAAGGCATTTTAGGGAAAGTGGTTGTAAAAGTTTTCTTTTTACAAAGTTTTTAATAGGCCATGATTAGGGAGACTAATTATAGTGGGTGTTTGGAAAGTGAATTTTTTTGTAGATTTTTTTAGTTATAGGATATTATTAGAGAAATTTTTTTTTGTGTTTGGAAAGATAGTTGGAATTTTTTGTGGTTGGATGTGTGAGTTTTTTTTTGGTTGGATATAATGTTTGTAAGAGAAAAAGTGAAATAATTATAGGGTTTGATGCGATATTTTGTTTAAATTTATTTTATTTTTAAATTTTGTAACTAATTTGTCTTTTAGTAAAAAAAAAAAAAAAAACACCCAAAAACTAACTTTCCAAACATCCCCATAGAGTACAATTAAAAAAGATTAAGAGCTCTAATTTGTGAGTTCTAAAAAGTTTTAATTTGTGGTGAATCTCATATGATATGATATTTTAACCTTAATTTTTTTTTTGAATTTCTACATTATTAAAGTTGATAATAGGCAAATGATATTTTTTTATGATTGTTGGAGTGGCAAAGGCCTACGAAGGAGATGTTTTCGAACCACCCTTAGGCTTCGTTTGGGAAGCCATGGTTTGGGCTTTTTTGGCTATTTTAGTCACAAAAAATAAAATAGACTATTTTAGCCATAACAAACAAAACATCACATCTAACGCATAATCATTACATTCTTCTCTCACAAAAAAATTCAAAAAAGTCAAAAAATCAAAAAGTCATTCCCAAACCAAGCTTTTAAGCCCAGGCTAAAATAGTCAAAAAAGTCAAAAAACCAAAAAGCCAACCCACTTCCCAAACGGAGGCTTAGTGGTAGAATATTAGACTCCATCTCTCACTTGAATCGTATGAATAAACTTTTGTAGGATTGGGATATAACGTTAATGGAGACATTCTTTGAAATTATTTAATGATGTGTTTGGTTGAGGGATTTGAAAAAGAATTTGAAAAGAAAAATAAAAAAGGTGGGTGAAATGTGAATAAAACATACATATATTTCACATAGTTTCACACATCCTTTTCCTTTCCCTTTCCAAATCCCTCCCCAAATCTCTCAACCAAACACAACATAAGAAAACTCGATTTGAAAGGGGGTTAGAGGGCATTTTGGTTTGAAAATGATATCAAATGACTTTTTTATTTTCCTTGGTCTCTTTTATGAAAGCCTGATTGGGTTTGGAAATTGAGAGGGAGATTTTATGAGCTGGAAATGAGCCATGGTAAGGGCCAGGCAAGTTGAAGGCCGAGCGCGTTTGGGCCAAGATAGCTTTGGGCTTGCACGGAGATGGGGCTGCTCGGCTAAAGCCCAAGACCGAGCTATTTGAACTTGCACAGGTGGGAACCGTGCTACTTGCATTGCTTGGCAGGAAGGCTCGCGCCTTTAGCTCGGCAGGAAGGCTCGCGCTTTTAGCCCGGCAGGAAGGCCTTTGTTTTACCCGCGTGACCTATTTCGAGCTCGGCTCTGCCGAAATGCAACTGAGCTCGGTCGGTATGGAGCTCGGCTAGTGAGTATTCGGGCATGCGGCGCAGCACGGCCGTGTGAGGCCGAGGTGATTTCGCCGATCTGCCGAGCTCCGCCAAGATATCCTGACAGTTTGGTTAGGTGGTGATTGTTGGATTTGTACTGATAGATGGGATAGCAGCACCACGTGTCGAGAGACTAATGGGAGTAGATTTGGGGCGCAGAAGGTATATAAGCGTGTCTGCGTCCCCATGCTAGACAGATGATCATTTGGTGAGATACACTTAGCCATTCAACTCTCTCCTCTCTCTATCTATCCCTGAGTGTGTGCTAACTTGATCGTCGGAGGGGTCGTCCGGCCACACACTGTCGGGTAGCTCACCGCCGTTGTGTTCGCAGGTCGATCAGACAGGCAGGGAGCTTGGAAAAAAGGAGTATGGGCTTGCCGGAATATTTGCTCCCCGTACAATTGGTGCCATCTATGGGAACTTGATAGACAAAACCTTGTCTTCCCAGCTCGTCTGATCGCCGTCCATGGCGAACAACGAAGAGATTCCGTTGTCCGCCATCGATGGAGTTATCCCGGAGTCAGCCAGACGGAGAGAAGGACAGACCGCCATTCCTCCGATGGCCCTTCTCCCTAGAGATAGAAACAACACCGCTTTTCGCGGGTGTTCACCAGCCAAAGTTTACGCTCTACGACAAAAAGACCGATCCATACATACATGTAAGTCGCTTCCGACAGGTCATGGCCGGACATAGGTGGAATGATGCTCTTATGTGCCTTATCTTCCCGTCCAGTTTGGGCGAGCTGGGCTTGAAATAGTTTGAGAGGCTGCCAGAGGGGAGCATTGAAAGGTGGCAGCAGTTGGCGGAAGCCTTTGTGACGCGTTTCAAAACCAACACCAGAACGCCAAAGGAAGTTGACCACCTTCTTAGTGTCAAGATGGAACCGAGCGACACACTCAAGGCATACAACTCCAGATACTGGGAAACCTTCAATGAGATCTTGGATTGCCCGGTCAACCTGGCAATCACACAATATAAGCGTGGTCTCCCGGTCGGACATAGACTGCGGGACTCGCTTACCATGCACCAGCCGACATCCATGGGCCAACTAATGCAGGGCATCAACGAACACATCCGAGTAGAAGATGATGCGGTAGCATCTACCGCGAAGGCAACTCCAGTAGCAACAGACAAAAGGTCGGTAGGCAAGGTGAACGCGGTCGGACAGGAGGCCAACCGCTCAAATGATCGCGCTGAGGAATCTGACCGAGGTTCAAATCGTCCAAACCAAGGTAGGGGTTGGCGGAATGACCGAGATGAATACCCACGTGACGACGAAGCTGATGCAAACAGAAGGTTGAAAGCTC